CAAAAGTTTTGGATTTTGCTGGGCAAGGTGGTACACACCTGTAATCCTACCAACTTAGGAGACTGAAGTAGGGACATCACAAGTTCAAGGCCAGTCTCAGCAATTCATTGAGGCCCTAAACACCTCAGTGAGACATGTGTCTCAGTAAAATACAAAAAAGGTCTGGGGATATGGCTCAGTGGTTAAGTACCCATGAGTTTAGTCCCTGGTACCAAAAAAAAAAAAAAAAAAAAGGCTGGGGATATAGCATTTCCAGGTTCAATCCCCAGTACCTAATAATAACACTAAAGGTTGAATTTTGAAGGATTTCAAATCATGGATTTTTGGATAAAGGATGCTCAACCTGGAACATCTCTCCCCATCTCCTAATTTGTGGTTCATTCATTCTCTTGGCCATTTTTGTACAGGTCATTATTAAAAAGAGTCAGGAGGGGCTGGGATGTAGCCCAGTGGTGGAGTCGGGGTAGATGGCGGGGCATGCTCAAAGGAACTCACTGCATGTCTCCTGGGACTCGTCGGAGCCATCCTGGCACTCGGGGATGCCGTCACAGACCCACTTGTAGGAGATGCATTTTCCATCCAGACATTGAAACTCGTTTCTCCCACACTTGCCTTCCACTGTGAGAGAAGAAAAGGGGAAGAAGAAAGTTGCTCAATACTAGAATCGGAAACTGACCACATTTCGCATTTCTGTTTCCTGTCAACCAAAGAATGAAACAGAAATGTAATCCCATCCATCACAGTCCGATTCCCAGGAAATTAAACAGAATGAAATATCAAAACCCCAAGGACAGTGGAGGATGCAATGAATAAACTCTTTCTTTTGATTTTGCCAATCACATGGAAGGTTCTGACACCCTGGCTATTGAATGCAAAGTACAGATCCACTGAGATATAGGAGCAAAATATTAGAATTTCTGTGCACAGCAATAAAGAAATTAGCTAGGTGTGGTGGTATGCGCCTGTAATCTCAGTGGCTTGGGAGGCTGAGGCAGGAGGATCTCGAGATTGAGTTCAGCTTGGGCAATTTAGTAAGGCTCTAAGCAACCTAGCAAAACCCTGTCTCTAAATAAAATATAAAACGGGCTGAGATGTAGCTCAGGAGTTAAGCACCCCTGGGCTCAATCCCTGGCACCAAAATAAATAAATTTAATTAAATTAAATAAAAAAGGGCTGGGGATGTAGCTCGGTGTTTAACTGCCCCCTGGGTTCAATCCCTGGTACCAAAAATAAAATAAAATAAACTTCCATAGGAAAGTAAAAACTTGAATTTTTAGACAAAAGCGAAGACATTGTAAATACCCAGGAAATTTCCCCAAGTATATGATGTTTGTATATTAAAAAAGAGACCAAAATGCTAATATCTGCATATAGTTTTGATTTAGCTAGGTATGGTGGTGCACACCTATAACCCTAGCTACTTGGGACGCTGAGGCAGGAGGATCCAAGTTCGAGTTGCCAGCCTGTGCAACTTAGCAATACTCAAAATTAAAAATTAAAAAAAGGAAGGAGCGGGTTGGGACTGTAGCTCAGTGGAAGAGCACTTGCCTATCTTGTTGGAAGCACTGGCTCCAATCCTTAGCGCCAAATAAAAATAAACAAATAAAATTAAAAAGGCATTCTGTCCATCTATAACTACAAAAAAATAAAGGACTGTAGTGCTCAGTCCATACCCATACCAAAAAAAAATTCATATATTTATATATCTAAGATATAGGACCACAGACCATTTGGGAAAAAGAAGTCTTTAGGGGAAGCTATGTGAACACAAGACCTTGGGACCAAGGCTCAAGGCACATCCTTGGCTAAAATAAAGAATTGTGGTTTCTACCAAGATTCAGAGCCATTTTCAGATGAAGATGAGCCACTGCCCCAAAGAAACAGAAAGAACTTGCCCAATACATCTTTCCAGGCCATGAATCTGTGGCCAGTACTTCCTCTTCCCATCTCAGTTCCTCTCAGACACATCCACCTGCAGATCTGTAAATTACCAGTCAGAAACTTCCTCTGCCAGCAAGAGAGAGATGCCAGGAGGTCACAAGATTTCACCCCTCTACCCGGCCCTCAACACCAACAATGGCAACATCAAGGAAGGTCCTTCCTTTCTCAGAACTGCATGGAAAGTGCAGCATCACCAGTTCTGATGCTGGTTCACCTAAATGTTTTACAACTTCAAACCCCACTGTGGTCCCTTCTGGCGCACTTCCCCTCCTCCTTTGCTCAGTTAACCCCCATTGTTTGTTCAGGTCAACATGGATGCTAACCTGCTACAATAAAAACTGGGTTAGGACCATGACCTCAAAGTATATTTTTTTCTCACCCTACCACATTATGTAGAAAAGATCTCTGTACTTATGTATCTCCCAGCCCAGAATTAAAACTCTTTGAGGAGGGTTGGGGATACAGTTCAGTTGGTAGAGTCTTCCCTCGCATGCACTGGGTTCAATCTCCAGCACCACCAAAAAAAAAAAAAAAAAATTTTTTTTTGAGAATAAGGGATGTTATTGTCATTCTTGCAGCATGATGCAGTCTCAGCCCAATTCCTGACATGGACACAATCACTGCATTCAATAGGGATGCACAGAAACATGACCTAGGAAAGCAGGGGTGCCTCAGTGGTAGAACAAGTGCTTAGCATACATGAAGCCCCTGGGTTTCTATTCCTAGCAGCAAAAAGGAAGAGAAGAAAAGAGAAAAGAAAAATCATGGCCTGGTTCATCACCTGACTTGGATAAAAGGGCTGCTCTTCCACACTTGAAAGGGTAATAGGACAGAATCTATCCAAATTTAAAATGCCAAGTAAATCCTTATGATTCTGCAGAAATACTAACACATATGCACATAGATAGTAAGTTCAAGGATGCCCAGTGAATCCTTCCTTTATATAATAGTGAAAAGAAGGAAGAACTGGCTGTAATTTGAAAATACTATTGCAAATTCAGTGGTGTTCCCTTTGAAAGGTGAGGCCTGATGCTTTTCTTCAGGAGTGTGTACTAGACATTGAGGGACTTGCTTCTACCAAATAGGAAAAATGAAGGTGATGGGGAGTTGCTGAGAGCCACAGTCGGAATGGCCCCTGGCATTTTGCCAACAGTAATGGTTGACAGGCGAGGCATTACTATCCGCCTGGGCTGCTACTTTTGAGTTCTCCCTCTACTTTGGAGTTCTCGTGGGGATTCCCGGAGAGTTCCCATGGTTGGGGTAGTGCAGGAGGAGGGATTTCCGGAGGAGATATTTCCGGTTGCTGGTTCCTGGATGAGCCGCATGGCATTCGGGAGGATTCCCGGGGAGCATGTGTGGAGTGTGCTGGTGGAGTTCAGAAATAAAGTTTGTTCCTGCTTCAGTGGTTCGTGATTTATGCCCAGCCAGACTGCAGCAGGGAGTCATTTCAGAGCCTAGGTCACCAAAGGCACTGTAGCTTCTTGTATCTCTTACTGCACCGGATGTCAGCTGCTTGTCATGAGGTCACTCAAGCAGCCCCAGGGAGAGGTCCATACAACCAGTAAATAAAGCCACTAGGTGGTCCTTCAACCCTAGCCAAGTCTTCCTATACCTACAGCCCCTGCAAATATGGTTTTTGCAGTGCATTTTAACAGTAACTTGGTGAAATTCCCCATGCTACAACCATTTAGCAATGCTGCTTCCAAATTTCTGACCTACAGAAACAATGAAACAATAATGTCTTTATTTTTGTTGTTGTTGTTTGATTGATAAATTGGGGGTTTATCACTGAGCTACACTGCCAGTTTCTTTTTCTTTTCTTTCTTTTGAGACAGGGTCTCACTAAGTTGCCCAGGCTGGCCTCAAACTTGCCATCTTCCTGCTTCAGTCTCCAGAGTTGCTGGGATTATAAATGTGCGCCACCACACCTGACGGTAATGTGTTGTTTTAAGGCACTAATTTTTGGAGGAACTTGCTATGCTGTAATAGATAATTAAAATATAACCTAATGTGAAAGGTATCTCTAGTGGGTTAGAAGCAGAGCTCAGTGGCAGAACAACTGCCCAGTATGCACAAAGCTGTGGATTCCATCTGCAGCACTCCAGGGGAAAAGTCTATCTATGGACATCATTATATACATATGTAAGCATAGTATATATGAAATCCAGAGCACCTATAGAATATTATATAGATTTACTTATATCTATGTTTATAACCATACATCTATTATATGGCTATCATTAAAATATCACATTACACACGCATTTACATTTCCATGTCTGTTAAATATTTGTAATACAGATTCACACTTATATTTATACCTATGTATCTATTACATATATAATAGATTTACATGCATTTATATCGATATTACATATTATATAGGCATACATATATATTTTATAGATATTTTATGTTTTATAGATCTCTATGTAGATATATGTAATATAGGATATGATTTGACTGTGATTCAATCCATCCAAATTCATATTGGAATTTCCCTCCCAGCAACTAGGACGCTGCGGCCAGCCACTGATAGCAAGTAGAGGTCAGCCCAGGCAACTTAACCAGACCATGTGTCAAAATTTAAAAAAAAAAAAAAAAAAGGGGTGGGGTTGTAGCTCAATGGTATAGCACTTGCCTAGCATGTATGAAACACTGGGTTCGATTCTCAGCACCGCATATAAATAAATAAATAAAATAAAGGCCCATTGACAACTAAAAAAAATAATAATTTAAAAAGTAAGTAAAATCAGGGGCTGGGGCTGGGGCTGTAGCTCAGTGGCAGAGCACTTGCCTAGCATGTGTGAGGCACTGGGTTCAAACCTCAGTACCACATAAAAATAAGTAAATAAAATCAAGGTATTGTGTCCAACTACAACTAGAAAATAGATATTTAAAAAAAAATTTTTTTTAAAGAAAATCAAGTGAAATCGGGGAATGTAGTTCTGTGACAAAGCAACACTGAATTCAATTCTCTGTACAAAAAAAAAAAAAAAGGAAAGGAAGGAAGGAAGAGAAAAAAGTCTCCGGGTGTGCAGATGTGAGAACTAGACGGACTTTGAAGCCATCGGGCTGCTGAGAGGGAGTCACGCAGTTCTCGCGAGACTGGATCAGTTACGGGAGCCGGCGGTTATAAAGCAAGCTGCCCCCCAGGCTTCTCCCCTCCGCATGCGCAGTGTGTGCACTTTGCCTTTCAGCTTTTTCCTCGCTGCGCGAGGCCCGGGCAGGTTGAGGCGGTCCTGTGCTGGCCTTTCAACCTTCAGAACCGTGAGCTAAATAATTTTCCTTTATGTACAATATATTTTAATATATAGAATATCTACATGGATATCCAAGTAAAATATATGATAATGTGACTCCTCCACAGCCATCGAAAGGGTGACGTCAGTCATCCACCAGGGGACACGGCGGCCCACAACGTCCTACGCCGGGAAAAGCCAGGAGCAGAAGTTTGTAGTAGTTCCCGGTAATCCGCTATATCTGGGTGTCGCATAGGAAATCACGGCAAGGGGGCTTTAGGAGTGTTTGGTTTTAAGAATGCTTTATTCTTGAACCTTTAAAAAAAAAAAGAAAGAAAAAGAAAAAGAAAAAGAAATCGCACAGGTGGCTGGGTGCAGTGGCGCATGCCTGTAATCCCAGCAGTTTGGGAGGCTGAGACAGGAGGCTGAGGCAGGAGGATGGCGATTTCAAAACCAGCCTCAGCAATTTAGCAAGGCGCTAAGCAACTCAGTCAGACCCTGTCTCAAAATACAAAAAAGGGCTCGGGATGTGGCTCTGGTTAAGTACCCCTGAGTTCAATCCATGGTACCAAAAAAAAAAAAAAGAAAAAAAGAAAAAAAAAATCGCACAGGAGAACCTAGAGGTAGGTCACTGCTTGTCTCTGGCTTTAGCCCTCCTTGCTGTCAGCTGTTTTGGTTGCCTTTGGTAGTTTTAACCATTAGGCTGAGGAGGAGACCTCAGGATGCCCTTGAACATCTCATTCAACCTTGACCTTGGGTTTAGGGTTGGGGGTGATCTAGTTGAAGAATCACCTTCTTAGAGAACTGGACACCACCACGTTTTTTAGACTTTATTCCTTTGTTTTGTTTGTGGTCTGGGGATCTAGTCCAGGCCCCTATTATACATTATTACCATGCCCTGGTTTACTTCTATAAACTCCAAACTTCCAGATGAGTATTCTTTCACTGCCTAAAAATCTGTGAATCAAAATTAAACTAATATTTAGTTCTTTTTGGTATATTTTGATTTCTTCATAAATGCATAAGGCCCTGAGTTTAATCCCTAACACACACAAAAAGTGATTTTTGAAAGACCATTCTTTAGATTTACTTCTCTATGTATGTATGTATTTGTGCATTTATTTGAATTTTCAAATACACATGGTCAGACAGAAACATCTGACTTACATATCTGGTACAAGGATCCATGTAAGAAATATCTGCCCCTTTATCCATTCTGCACTGATAGCTCACTCAGGATTTTTATAGATTCTCTGAGAGGCACTGTCATAAGGTGCTTAGACAGCCCTGGGTTTAATTAGTTTTCCATGCTATTTAACTAGAAAAGCTTGGGTAACTAACTTAACCTTGCTGGGCCTCAATTTCTTCATCTGTGAAATGGGTGAGTACAGTGGTTCCTATTTCCCAGAGGGTATCATGGGGATTAAAAGAATAGAACAAAAAAGGAACCCTACCCAGATGCTGACATAATAAACATCAACTTAAAAGCAGAGATATAGAGGGCTGAGGTTGTAGCACAATGGTGGAGTGCTGGCTAGCATGTGTGAGGCACTGGATTTGGTCCTCAGAATCACATAAAATTAAATAAACCAGGTATGGTGGCACATGCCTATAATCTCAGCAGCTAGGAAGGCTGAGGCAGGAGGAGCACAAGTTCAAAGCCAGCCTCAGCAAAAGCGAGGTGCTCAGCAACTCATTGAGACCCTATTTCTAAATAAAATACAAAATAGGGGTGGGATGTGGCTCAGTAGCCAAGGGTCTCTGAGTTTAGTCCCCAGTACCAAAAAATAAATAAATACTGAGTTCCATCCTTAGCACCACATAAAAATAAATAAGCCAGCCATGGTGGCTCACACCTGTAATCCCAGCAACTCAAAAGGCTGAGGCAGGAGGTTTGCAGTTTCAAAGCCAGCAACTTAATTAGGCTGTAAGCAACCTAGTGAGACCCTGTCTCAAAATTGAAAAAAAAAAAAGTGCTGGGAATGTGACTCAGTGGTTAAGCATCCTTGAATTCAATCACTGGCACCAGGAAAAAAAAAATTAAATAAAATTTAGAAAAAAGCAGAGATACAGTACAGGCTGGGCATGGTGGCACACTCCTGTAATCCCCATGGCTTAGGAGGCAGACGCTGGAAGATCATGCAGGTTCGATGCCAGCCTCAGCAACTTCGTGAGGCATGAGGCTGTAAGCAACCCAGGGAGACTGCCTCAAAAAAAAAAAAAAGAGATCTATATAGATGTATGTGTAAAATCATAATAATGTGACTCCTCCAACATATTTATCTAATGGTGTATTACTCAGAAATAAGAGCCAAAGGGTTATCAAACAAATCAACACAGATCCCCAAAACCTTATGTTGTCTCTGACTTCTTTTGCTCCAGATTACATACTCTGCATTTATGTTCCATTCTTTTATAGGCAAAACTAATTTTCTAATCCCAGAAATCAAATTAGTGGTTGTTTCTGAGATGTGTGTGTTGTGGGAGGAGTGATTTTGCTGGAAAAGGGCACAATGGAACTTTCTGGGAGGCTAGAAGTATTTTGTATCCTCATGGTAGATGTGTGGTTCATGGATGTAGAGAATGATAAAAACTCATGTAACTGGTCACTTAATATCTGTCCACTTAATAATGTCAATTGTATCTCAATTAAAAACCAAAAAACAGGGCTGGGGTGGAGCTCAGTGGTAGAGAACATTAGTACGAGCAAGGCCCTAGATTCCATCCCCAGCATGGGAAAAGAAAAGATCTTCTAAGATCTTCCAGATTCAAGTTCTGTGCCTCTGGCAGAGGTTAGGAAGCAGTCCAGGTGAGATTAGGAGAGGCATGAGGAGGGCTGAAAGATGGATGGAAGTTGTAATGATGGGGAGATATAAAGGAGGATTCAGAAGAATAAAAAGAACTTGATAACTGTAAGTTCCTAGTAGGCCTGCCCTGAATGGCCCCAGTTGGGAGCCATATGATAGGAATATGGGTAGAAAACAGGAAGGAAAGAGAGAAGCAAATGAGTTCTGAAGTCAGCTGTGGTTACAGGATACTGATAATTCCACTGCCCCATTACTTATCTGAACAGGATAAATCCCTTAGAGGTGCTACAATGTACCCCACACCCTGCTGACTCATAGCTGAGTAGTGATCGGGCTAAAAGAAGGAAATGACTCACTTGCACATAGAGTGGGCAAAAAGCAACTAGGATTCCAGGACTTCGATAAATAAAAAGGGAAGTTCAGGCACGGGGCACTGGCAATAAAGATCTTCGGGGAGGAGCTTCTGTCACCCCATCTGGCGACAGCAGCTCTGGTGACCATCAATCCATTGCTCTCATCTTTGCATAAGGGACCATGTTACAAACTAAATGTGCCATTTGAAGGACTGACACCTAAAAGCCCCTTATAGAGTGAAAGAAGCTGGGAGTGGTTGCACACTTCTTTTAGCCCACCTACTCAGGAGCTGAGGAAGGAGGATTATAAGTTTAAGACCAGCCTCAGCAACATAGCCAGATCCTGTCTCAAAGACTAAGGAGTCTGGGGGAAGGAGTGCTGGGGGTGTACAGCACCCCTGGCTTCAATCCCCAGTACCACCAAAAAAATAAATAAATAAAATCCCCTCCTTGGACATCAAGTCTTCCTCTAGCTACAATTCAGATTTTTAGCACAGGTGCTCAAGATCTCTGTTTCTTCATGCTAGTGATGCCTACAATATTCTAAGCACTGCACCCTCCCTTAAAAAAAGATCTAAGGGCCAGGCATGGTGGCACATGCCTCTAATCCCAGCAGCTCAGGAGGCTGAGGTTGGAGGATTGTGAGTTCAAAGCCAGCCTCAGCAACTTAGCAAGGCCCTAAGCGACTTAGTGAGACCCTGTCTCAAAATAAAATATATTTTTAAAAAAGGGTTGGCGATGTGGCTCAGTGGTTAAGTACCCCTGGTTTTGATTCCTGGTACCAAATTTTAAAAAAAAGTTTCCTGGCTGGAGCTATCGCTCAGTGGCAGAGTGCTTTGCTTAGCATGCAAAAGCCCTTGGTCCAGGGGAGGGGAGGCGCTGGGTTTGCGGCTCAGTGGTAGAGTGCTTGCCTAGCACGCATGAGGCACTGGGTTCGATCCTTAGCACCACATAAAAATACATAAAATATTGTGTCCATCTACAACTAAAATATATATATATATGTATATATATTTTTTTCATTTACAACTAAAAATATATATGTATATATATATATTTTTTTTCATATATATATATATGAAAAAAAGCCCTTGGTTCCACCCCCAGCATTGAAAAAAAAAAAAATCTCTTAGACTCAAAACTTAGCGCTCTCGTGTCATGAATGACAAGCCAGAAACAAAGTTATCGAAACAGAAAAGGAGAACACACATTTCTGCTTTTCATGCCCACATACAAATCAGGTGGTGAATGCTTTCGATGTTTTTCCCAGGCTATTGAACACAGTTGTGGTGCGGAGAAAACAAAATAGTGTATACAATTGTTTCCTTGAAAAAACAAAATCCATTGGCAGTCGAAAACTCAAGTTGAAAATAAATGAGAAATTGAGAAATCAATTGACCACTGAGCAGTGTGTCATGCACTGGTGGTCCCAGCTACTCTGGAGGCTGAGGTGGGAAAATCACTTGAGCCAAGGAGTTAGGGGCCAACCTGGACAATATAGCAAAACTCTGTCTCCTAAAAAAGGGGAAAACGATTCAGAAGGCTGAGACAGGAGGATTGCAAGTTTGAAACAAGCCTCAGCAACTTAGCGAAACTCTTAAAATAAAAATATAAAAGGGCCAGAAAGGTAGCTCAGTGGCAGAGCAGCCCTGGATTTCATCCTCAGTACCAAAAACAAGACTAGGGCTGGGGTTGTAGCTCAGCCTAAGGGTTGAGCACTTGCCTAGCATGTGTGAAGCCCTGGGTTCGAGTCTCAGCACCACATAAAAATAAAGTCCATTGACAACTAAAAAAATGAAGGAAAATTTAAAAAAAAAAAGGAGAGGCGCTGGATTTCATTTCCAGCACCAACAAAGAAAAACCACAAGACAGGTCAGTGCATGGATGCTTTTTCCCCAAGGCAGGTAAATTTTGTCACCTGTTCCTTTTGGGAAGGGTAGCCTGTCTCTGTCACTGTTCAAGGCTGCTTAATTCCAGAGTCAGTTAGCAACAAAAGGCCATTTGCTTGATATCCATGAAGAGTGTGAACGCTGTTAATGTACTTAATATGAAAAGGGGACATCAAAAGGCTCATAAAAGCACCAAGCAACAGAAGCATCTAGAGTTGGATCATATCAGAAGTGTAATCCTATAGATAAGAGCAGGAATTTCCTGGAAAGAATAAGGAACTAATTCTCCCAGAAAGGTTTTAATTTCAAGAAAGATCACCCCATAGACACGTCACACACAATAGTTGACTGATATCTGATTTTTAGCTAAATGAAGGCAAGCAGTTTGGATTCCAACTACTTCCATTCTTAAAGGAAACTGACAAGAAATGAATCAGGAAGTGCTCTGAAGACAGCTGGGAAGCTAGCTGGAGCCGTTAGGGCTACTAAAAACATATAGTATGATGGGGCTCTCTGAAGTCTGGGGAAACAGCCTCCTAGGGAAGAGAAGACATCAGATCCTCAGCCTGGCCAACCAGAGGGACAGGAAATGAAACTGAGCCACTCATGTTAGTCTTGCTCAAGACTTCACTGGCCCACATTTTCTAAAGTGGATCAGTGAGTGAAGGACAAGGTAATCGGGTGCACCCTGAGGAAGCTGGCTCTATCCATTCTATATATACATCTAGGTGGCTGAAATAATATATACATCTAGGTGGCTGAAATATCCCAACAGTCATGCTGGCTATTTTGAAGCATCCTCTTTCCTTCTCCTCCCAGCGGAAATGGGTGTGTCACAGTGGGAATTTCAAGACAAGACATTCAGAATTCTCCCTCCGAAGCCAAACGCCAGCCAGTAAAACAAAAAAACCTTTTTCTATATGGTTGCTCAGGCATTGCCTGTCCTTTCATAGGCTTAAGCAGTTCTGAGTAGGAAAAAGACCATTTAGCTCTTGCCTAAAGCAGCGCCGACTGCCTCTAGGAAGCTAATTTAAAGCCATCTAAGAAAGCTGTAACCGGGATCTTGTACCAACTGGACTCTTGGCCAAATCTAAATTCAAACTTGCCCTCCTAAAAGGAAAAATCGCCACATGGGCAGCTCGGCCAAACTTCCAAACGAGGCCACCCTAAAGGGTGTGGTCCCCGCCCAGCCCTGGCTGCAAGTCTCAGGTTTCAACCAAGGAGCAATGGGAGTTTCTAAGGTAACATTTCAGCCCTGAGGTCTAAAGGTGGCCTGGGCCACATCTGTGTAATTGATGGGAGGTGAAGAACAAGGTGGAGCTGAAGAAGAAACTGCAGCCTCTGCCCAGGCGTGCTCAGCCGGTCTTTTCCATGCTCCCGGAAGCAGCTTCAGAACGTGTGGCCTCCTTTGTGACAGGAGCCTCGGAGGGACTCAGCCTGCCCGGGTACCACGCCAGCCCCGCCCTGCGTATTCACAAGCCATGCCTTACACATCCGCCTCTGACTCCCATTGGACAAGGGGAGTGGCTCGAGGCTCGCCTGTTCAGACTGCGCCCAATGGAAGCCTGGGGGCGGGGCTTGGAGGCGGGGCTTGGGGCGGTACCCCTGGGCTATCCCGCGCTGGGAGCATGGGCGGTTACACAGTCCCAGCCGGCACAAAGCCCATCTGGACCCTACTGCCTGTGGACAGAGGTGAAGAGTATACCAGTCCTCCAAGTTGGGCAGCGGGGGCTTCAAGTCACCCTCGCCCCAAGCATAAGGGATGGAAATCTCAACATTTAGGACTGGATGTCCCTACACTCACTCTGAGGAATTTGCGGTGGCCCCTTCCCTGGCAGAGACTTGGAATAGCCGAGCTAGGTTTCCACTGAGCCTACAGTGACTCCCGCAATCCTTGCTCCTCCCTCCCAAGAGTATTCTCTCCAGCCGCTTGGGAGGATCCTTGTGCCATGTACCCACAAGTCTCCCGGGCAAGGAGTGATTCTCTTTCGCTCCTCACTTCTAAATTACCAAAAGGCTCCCGGAGATCTGTGGGCTGCCTTTACCCCGCAGGGGATCCTGGAGCAAGCCTTACCTTTAGCCCTCACCGCAGCGAAGAAGAGTAGTGCGACAGCCCAGTGCAGCCCCCAGTCGGCGGTCCTCATGTTCACAGTGTCCACCTACAGTGTCTCCGCCCGGCTACCACGGCTACCACCGCTCAGTATCCCTGCTGGAAACCAAGGCTTCGAGCAGCTCAGCGGCGACTACACGCGGGGCTAGAGTCATTTGCAGCATTTCTATGTGAGGTTTCTAGTAGGGGGAGGAGTTTGCAGTGGGGTGATTTTCAAAACTCTTCACCTCACTGCGGAGGAGGAGCTTCCAACGGCCGATGTGACATCGGCTTTTTAACCCGTGAAACCCTGACTTGGATTCCATTTCTTTCAAAGCTGCTCCAAAACAGGGGCTTGATTTAGTCCTCCGTGAAGAGTAGATCCCCCCTCCCTCAGCTGAAATGCGTCTCTTGAAAGATTCCTTGAAATGTCTCAACTTTTGAAACTGCCACGTTTCTTTTTCATTCCCAAAGAATAATCTTCATCCTTTGAAATGCTCCCATGGTCTAAGGAGGATCTCCTTTCTGCCGCAAAAGGAAACCAGAAATATTGGAAACTTCCTTTCCTCTTCTCTCCTTTCTGTATTTGCCTTTTCCTTTCTAGCAATTGTGGATTTCTAAGTTTAGTTGCATATAGTTTTTGATGGATATTCCAAATCACCTTATAAACAGTAATTAATGAGGAATTTAAATAAACTTTCAGGAAAGTACAGACAAAACATTATTTTGTTTTATTTAGCACTTGGATAAATTATGACCAAAAACATCTCAAAAATCAATTAGCCCAATACCTGGGGTCTGGATAGAAATATTGATTTTAGGGCAGAGATAAACAGAGGATGGTTTCCTTTCCTCAAAGCCAAATTAGAACCAAACAGGGAATAGGGCTTTCATAATGAAGCCTGAGAGGCTTCACCACAGCTGGCTGATGCAGAGCAACTTTGAAGAATCAAGGAGTCTTTTTTTGGAATTTATTTCTATTTATCTATCTATCTATCTAT